AAAAAAAAAAAATATTCATAATCATAAACTAAGTAAAACCATTTCATCAACATTAAAAATAATCTTTCACTATATTATTTTATTATTATATAAATATCATATTATAAGTAATAATAAAAAATGTAAATTTCAAATATAAAATAAAATATAGTATTTAAATATAGAAATATGATGATAATAAATATAATAATATATGATATGAAAATAGAAATATTTATAAAATAAATGAAAATTATAATAAAATATGATTTTATATAATTAAGAAAAGATTAGAAAACTAAGAAATTTTATGTCAATATGGTAACACTATAAAATAATATAATTTAAGTTATTGAGTTTATAATATTATTTATTAATTTTGAGTTTTATTCTTTTATTTATTTTTTTTACTTCATTATCTTTTAGTTTTTGATTTATATTCTTATTTTTTTTATTTTATATCTATATTTTGTTTTATTCTTTTATTTATAATATAATTTTTTTATTATTATATTAGTAATAAATATAAAATCTTAAAGGTTTCTTGTTTTGTAATTCATTTTTAACTCTTAATTTTTATGTTTTTATATGTTGCTTCTTATAACTTTTTTTATTATTTAAATAAATAATATTTATATTTATATATACTTAATCTTAGTAATAAAAGTATCTGTAATATATTCTCTCTATAAAAAATAACTTTTAAGTTATAATGTTACTATATAAGTTATAATAATTATATATTTTTTTAAAATTGATACAAATTAATAATTCTAAAAATAATAAAATATGTACAGTCTCAAAAGGATATAAATCTAAATAATAATAATAATAATGCTACTATTTTTATTCAAATTCAATAACCAATGACAGCTAATCAGATCTCTATAGTTATCACACTTGGAAAAGCAAAATTGGATGATTAAAAAGAGTTGCAACTGTAAAGAAGTTTTTTTAATTATAGTTATAAAGAGGTGTGACTATAGAGAGGTCTGACTATATTAATTAATACTTAGCAAGCTCATATTCAAAACCTTCTAGAGTACTTTCTGTAGTATGAAGAAACAATGTAGAACAATCAATAATTAACAAGTAACAAGCAAACAATTAAGAAATGTACGTGTCATGCATTTATAAACTTGGAAAATCGATTTTCCATCTGCACTGCCGAATCCCTTCTGAAGTGATTTCAATCACAACAAAATCATGTGTCCACTAGGCTTTAGCCAATCTCTTTAATTAGGTGATCAAGGAGAATTCCTGCAGAGTATAAAAGGAGAAAGGAGAACACTCAGCTATCGGGTTCAAAGCAATGCATCTTCTATTGGTGGGATCCAGTGACCAATCACAAGACTCGGGAGAAGTCTAGGACGTAAAATTCGTTCGAATGTTAAAAGTCTTCGAGTTATTCTGTAGTTCCCAGATAGATAGGATAACAACGTTTTTTTGAAAGTTTTCTATTATATTCATGTTTAAGAAAACTATCAATATTTTTGTCATGTAATGAACGTCTTTTCGTCACTTTTCATTAATTGAAAATTGTTAAGCTTTGTAAAACTTTAACATTCTTTTTAATACAGTACTATGTATGAATTTCAAATTACAAATCAACAACTACGGCTATACACAACGAATTCTGCCATTTGTGTGAAATTAATATCATTTATTGTTTAGAGAATAAATGTTAAACGAAATGAAATACAAAATATGTATTGGTACCTTTTGTATCTATAATTTTACAAACTGAAAATTAAAGAGGAAGGGGTTCGTGAATAATGATAATTGATTGAAGCTTTTTTTGATACTTCAAACATCAAATAGAAAATGATCCAAGTGAGATTGAATATAGTCGAGAGAAGTGCTTTTACAACAAATGACCCTTTACGGATTTTATGTCGACATGCTAAACAATTATTATATCAAAAATGAGCAAAAGAGGAAATAACGCATGTATTAGATATAATATCTTACCAAACATACTGATCCAACCACCAAATACGCCTAAAACGTGCGTTAAAATGTGGTTTTCAGTTATCATTAATTCTTATATTGAGTGAAAGAAAACAAGAAAATTGACTTTATCTACCAGTAGTCCAAAGCCACCAAAGTAATTCACGTTCAGATGTTCGCCAATTTTGTAAAACCGATTGTTTCTTATCAAACCAAAATACTATCCAAGTGATCACATTTATGACGAGTATCGGTGGTGCTAGCTGCTGCACCATTAATATGAATGCTCCTGTGAACACGGAGAGTGAGTCAATAGTTGCTGCATATTGTATGTAACGACAAAAATCAATCTAACGATTGATTACCTTTACTATTATAACCATACTTTCTAGCCATCATATGAAGAATAGTAAGAGTTTTTAATGCTTGAAAAGTAAGCCAAATTGTCAATAAGACGCGTAGTTTTGATAATAAACTTATTCTTTTCATTTTCGTATTATGCGTGCATTAACACAATTAAGTTAATTATTATTTTTATTAATATGCTCGTTTTTTATCCTCATTAATATCAAATGTCATCATTAATGCAAAAAGTTAATTACAAAAGTCTGGGGTACAGAAAGAAATAAATTGGATAAAAAATAACAGTTGGATTGTGTCAAGGTATTTATTTAATAAATATTGGCTCATTGAATGATTCTTTGATTTATGTGCAGAATTTTTCAAAACATTTTTTGTTATCGATCGCATATTTTTTTCTATTACAATTTTTGACAGGTTAAACAACAGATTAACTGAAGGACAAAGCGCCACTCAACCCCACATTTAATGACAAAGACGTGTATATGTGTATGTGAGTATATGTATGCAAAAGCTACATTTGTTCACGCGCGAAAATTCATTTATTAATACATGTACATGTATATGAACATGGCAAGAATAATAGTAAAAATAAAATAAAAAGAAAAATTGAAGCATTTCTTTGCTTTTCTCATAAACAATCGTTTCTCAAATTTAACAATGTAAATGGTGATGGATATTATACTGTAAAACAATATCCAATATTTTGCTTATTATTAGGTAAGGTATTAGTTATGATAATTTACTTAATTTCATAAATGTATTTACCTCTCACTTTTGGTAATTGTGAATATACGAAATTATTACTACTTATAGAAAATATTAAGTAAAGAGAGCATTGTCTAAAGATTGCATGCGTGTCAGTGTTTAAATACAGTAATACAAAAAAAAGCTGTGCATTTTATTTGTTACACGTATTTGGGGGAAAAAGAATTTTTAACAATGGTGTTTTCTTAATGCTAATATATATTGTCGTTTAATATGGGGATCTTTGAAACATGTTAGAACTAAACTTTTTCAAGTCACTTGCATTGTCATGTTCTTTGCCTTCGACTACAGTCACATTTGATTTATGCAAAGCTTTGCATATCATAAATACTAAACGACACGTAAAAGCAGCGTGCAGTTCTCACGTCAGGAAAATAATGATTTCTTTTCAAAGAAATTTTAACTCGCTTTGTTGGTCAATGAAGATTTCCATAATACGGTATACATGTATATTGAATACATTCATTTGCTCGATTTAGAGCATTTTTTACTTAGAGATACATTCATTTTCTGTGTAATTATTCCGCAATAATTTTGAGAAATGTCATTTTGGTTAATTCATAATACTAACTAAATTACTATACTAAATAATTGTTATCTTCGGGATGAGGGTGTAACCATTTTGTTCAAGGAAAATTTTTCTTGGTCACTAAAAAAATATCGAGAAGCAAGTAATTGCAACTTTAACTCTAATCCTAATCCTGACCTTGATCCTAATCTTTAACGCTTTCCAGATCACATGATTTGCGAAATAATTTGAGTGGAACGTGTACAGTTCTAGCAGAAAGTAATGGTGGCGGGATAGCCATTAAATCAATATTAAAGATCACAGAAAATATTTATTCCACTGAAATCTATGTTATAAATGTAAATTGATCAGTTGAACAATATT